TCAGGTTACAAATAAATTAATTACCTGTTTTAAATAAAATAAGATCGATGACATAATCATCTGTTGATGTACTAACTATGTCGTTAATATGCTTGGAAAATATATGCATTTGAACATTGATTTTTAAATGTAAATGCAAAAGATTGTGTGTTTTTGTAATTTAATATAAATAATTTAACATTTAGCGTGTATGTGAAAAGATTATAATTATTTTCGTCTCTATTAACAAAATTCAATGAGTTTTTTCTAGATGTATAGATGAGTTAGAATACAATTAAAAACGTTAGATTTATTTAAGATGTGAATTAACCTAAAAGTAAAGCGAAACGTCAAGAAAGTCTAAATTCGCATGAGTGGCGTGGTTCGCAAAAATCGATACTGCAATTGCTAACTATTTGGAACGTAACTCCGTAGCATTTTAAATAATCCTGGCGGATGATGGGATTTACTGAAGGATTGGAAAGTATCATATGATTTAAAATTGAATTTATGTATATTAAATATTTAAGAAACAAAGAACAAAGATTTTTATTTTTGTTAATCAAAAGACCAAATAATTTTCATTCATGCATACAATATTTTACAGAGGTTCCCTTTATAAATTAACTTACGTAAATAACTTTAAAGTATACATAATACGCATTGCCACAGATAGTAACAAACTTAACATATATAATTGTAACAATTGATTGCTGAAGTATTATAAAATATAAAATTATCCTCTTCGTAATATTTCAACGGATTTTAACTTTCTTTTTAAGTGTTTTTGTTTCGTACATATCATTACCACGTGAATGTTTTACGATGCTCAAAGTTATAGCATGTTCTCTAATACAAACTGCCCATAAACAACAGAGCCCTAGGATTGGTCTAACATATATTTTAAGACCATAAAACTTGAAGACGATCGTGCGAAGTTGTAAAGACTATGTATTGAGTACCATTGATTATACCTGAATGTTGCAAACATAAACTTTAACGATTATATGTGACAAATGTTTTAAATATTTCCAGGTGTTACGATGTATAATACGTTTTTTGTTACAATGATCTTTACATATTTCTTGTCAAACGTCAAAGGCAATATATTGGTCAAACTCCATTTTCTTGTAAAAATATTCACACATTTTTACCTAAATTATTTATATCCTATGTATATAAAGTAAGTAGTATAGGTCCTTGTACTTTAAATGTTGTAAGAGTCAATATAAAGAGGATTTTGTACATAACGGTAGATGTACATAAAATTCGTCGTTTCTCAATTCCCAATCAAAACTTTACATAGAGAAACGAAACAATTTCCTCGAAAGAATAAAAACAAAACCGAAATAAAATAAAAGGATGGAGTTTTCTATCGTATCCGGGATAGTTTGCGAGCGGTTTGCAGTCGCCATGTTCAATTCAGACGGATTCAATTACGTATTATTCTTTTACCATAGTATTAGTTCGGGATAAAAGAGTTATTTCAATTAAATTCCATTTCAATTATTTAAATTAAATTCTAGAATACTGGCAGGATATAAGTCGTTTATGATAAAACAAGGAAGGTTTAGCTACAGTGTGCGTGATGAAAATTTACACTTTAAATTTCATTTCAACGAATGTCAAGGTAGTCAGCAATTTACCATATAGAAATACCTATTCTGAGGTAAGTGTTTAAATTACAGTATTTATATTTATTAGAGAATTGCTTTTTAACACTAATTATAAAAAAAAATCGATCATTCTGTTTTAAGATAACATAATTATGGGTATCTTTACCAATAGCAATAGGAATAGACTTTCTGAAAAACGAGTTACGTAATTGGGTATTCGAGTGCAGGGAGGGAGCGACAGACCATGAAATTGGCTCTGGCTATGGCATTGGAACAATGCATCGTCGCTTAATAGTTGACACGAAAATGGGATTTTTACAGTATCTTATAAATTAACAAACTTTGTTAAATGAAAATTCAAATTTTAATATAGAAAAGCTTTTGTTAGATGGTAGTTTATGTAATACAAATGAATACGTACGAAACATACTATGGTACTATTCCTGTATTTATGTGGCTATTTCCAAAAGGCTTATACACAATTCCTAAAGTCTAACTCTCATGTTTGCTGTACAATATGTACCAAATAGGCCCCTAATCTATATCGGTACCTTTATACCATCCTGTGTCCATGTCCATTGGGCAGATAAAGGCTGATGGAGATACCGAAGTTATAACTGACCAATTGTTTTACAATACTTACATGTATGTAGTTAGGAATCGACTACGGGAGAAGAAACATAAAACGTCTGACCACTAAATCATATGAATGTCTCGACAACAATAGTACTAAATTAGCAAAATATGTATACAGGTAAATGCGCTTTACACTTTAAGACGATCAACGTGAATCACCGCCACTCGTGCATTTTATGATCCATAAATACTAGGTGGTCTTCGGTAATGGAAATTTACTAGGTACAGGTATTGTGCTACCTTAGTATAAGAAATGAGGTCGGCACAATTAACTATTTATTTCTACTTACATTTGTTTTGCCTCTAAAAATACACATTAACCACTTATAACCGCCATTCGATCACTCCGTGAGATATCAGGCGCCATAAAGGTAATGTCAAACGATTGGGGAACACTCGAAAAAACTATCAACAAAAACTATAAGCCAAAAGTATTAGACGAAAGGTCGGAACAAAAAATTGTTTATGGATTTAAGTGCAAAACCGCTTGGGGCGTTCGATATTTTCGTATACCTTTTGCATTAAGGGCGAGCAGGTTTGCTGAGCGATTTTCAGTTTAATGTCGTAAGAGTCTTCCTATTGTGAATTCCGTACGAGTGAAATTTATTTGACAGCACCAGTGTCTGTGGAGAATGGAAAATGGCGGAATGGCAGAATACATTACATTATGGATATAACTCATGGTTTGTTTTTGGCGGGGATCCGACAAACGTTATTGGTATTTAGGGACATTTAACTATTAGGGGCAATGGCTTTTGCTTTTTTATCTTGATATATGAGACAGTGAATGCAATAAGAATGACTTGCCGACAGTGAGGTCGTTAGTCACGGTGGGAATTAATATTATTTTAAATATGTTCTGGCATGTAGCTCGGGTAAAAAATATGCTTATCAGGAGTCAAGTGTGATGCCACTTTCCGTAAATATTGAAGTAGTTACTTAACTGTAAAAATTAGATGCAGATTTATGTTGTGGTGTTTTTTTTTTCAAAGTTACTTTATAACTTGCACATTAAGTGATGTTTAGATATGTTTTCCAATGACGAAAGACTGCTAATAAATTATAAGATTGTATATTTAAATCCTTATATAGATTGAGGCGTCGTATTATTTGGTTAGACGGTTATTTTTTATCATACACTGGCAAAATAATTGAGTTACGATCATACGATTTTGACACAGTAGAAGATATCTGTCCCATAAGATGTAATACTTTTGGTTTTCGATAGCGTTTTGATATCGTGGAATAATAATTGACCTCGATTCAAATGTTTTTAATTAGTTAACATAAAGATGTCAACGTTAATTGTGTCATTAAAACCATTATAAGACAACAAAATAAATGTATTCTGATTAACATAATTTTTAAATCATGTTTTTAAAAACAAAACAAGAGCTCAGAATATTATAGTTATAAACGTTTGCTAACCTTAACCTATTAGAGATTTTGTTGCTGTATCATTTTTAATAGTATAACAACGTTGGTTAGAAACGTCTTTTACCTCATTTCCAGTCTGTATTTCTCGTCTCTTTTTCTAGCAGATTACCTTTTCACATAGGTACATAAATACCTAACACTAAACATTTTAATTAAGACTGAACATTTATTCGTATGCTATTGTTTTTTATAGAAGGCGTCAAACGAGCAGTGTATCGTCTAACATTCATTGATCCATGCGAGTCGAGGAACATAACAGGAACCGCAGAGGTTTTTCCTAGTTGGAATTAGTCTATTGGAAGAATCCATAACTTAGCTATAAATGTATTACAGCGCTTAAATTCACTGCTGCAGACCAGTGAAGGTATTGACTAGTTACTTTATCTAGGACCTACCTAGTATATATGTTGCCTAAAGTTTTAACAATTATTGTATATGATCAGGCTGAATTAACTGTTACTATGTGAACAATCATAATATTATAAAAGTGAATAGTAACTAGGAAGACGTCTTCTTGCAAATAAACAGCTTATTAGAATATGGATATGACTAAGTATAAATAGTTATTGGCCACTTGCAATCTTATCACGTTTACGAACTCACCCTCTTATCATTCTGCAGAGTATTCAGTATTGCAGGAAGTAAAAGCAACGTAAAAGCATTGTACTGTGCCATAAGATGACAATGAAATCATTACTAATTCAGATTTTGATGTCAACAAAGTTGCTATGCAGAATTGAATATTTCATTCATATAACTCCGGTGGCCACGATACAGGCATTGCCTAGTGTGGCCATCACCAGATTAACTAGAATAACTTAAGATAACAACTATTTTTAATTTCCTGTTACATATAATTTTAAGGTATTGTCAAAGTTATTTGTTTTGTACAATCTTTTTGGTTTAATAAATATTTTTTTTAATTTATAATTTTTCATTGAATTGATGAAATTGAAGAAAGTTTTTTGTAATTACAAACTACGAGACGGTATTAAGAAAGTTTCCAATGTTTCCAGAACTGATTTTGTTTGCTTAGCGGTGTTATGAAATAATATAATATCAATGATTAAGGAGAAGATCTTTTTTCATCAATACTTCCAGTGAGAAAAAGAAAACTCTGTTATTATTTTGTGACCAAATTAAATGTATGACATTCAATAACTTATTATAAAAACAAAAATTACATTTTAAATTTCAATAATTATAAATGATTAAATAATGAAATTAAAAATTTAAAATGTTAAAACGCTGTTGATATGAGGTGAGGTTGTATGCGGTTGAATATTTAATTTAAATTGGTAGGGTAAACAACAAAAAATAACTATAATAGCCTTAGTATTATTAACTCTTTATTCTCTTGAATTGTCAAAATTAATATTACAATATTGAATGCGGGCTTCATACAATCACCCAACTATTTTGCTTAACTTTACCACGACAAAGTCACATTGGCCGAATACGGTAACGCGATCGATTCCATGGACACAACACAGACTATTTAAAAGGTACAGATTAAAAAAGAAATTGGATTAAAGCAAATTGAAAATTATTTTATTGACAACATTAATTTACTTTGTAAAACCAAAGCTAAAATATTTCTAATAAAAAGTGTCCAAAACACATCACGTTTACCGTAATACGACATCCCGATACATAAATACATAACGTAAAAACAGAAATAATATAAACAAAATAATGCGCCACATAAAATTTCCACAACTATTTACAGTTACTTAGTTTAAGACAATTTAATTTCTATCTTCAAAAATATAGATATACGTACATACATACAATAGCTACATTTATATTAAGATAAAAATTGATCGATTTTTTTAACGACATAACCTAAAAGAACGGAAGTCTTATATGCATAATGTTAACACATCCAAATAATGGCGGGGATTTTAATCAAACAATGAGTGTGAAAAAATGATATGACAATATTTAACGGATTCGTTTATTTAATATAAAAAAATCATGATTATTGAATAAATATTGATGAATATTTAGGTTTTTAAGTCTACAAAATACTAGAAATATGGCAAGACAGCGATGCAAAATAGAAAATGTGTACATATTTAGCAAATTGCTCATTGTTTCATTTGATTTATCTATAGTTCTTACAGACGGGGGAACAATTATGAAAACCTGATATAAATCAATAGACGTGCTTACGCTGAACTACAAACATGACAGGAAATTCTTTAACAAATAAGACATTAAAAAATAACAATGAAAATCATATTGGATTTGCACAGTCCCATATTTAAAATGTCGACAAAAACAAAACATTAAAACGAAATTTATCAATTGAATTCAGATAACAATTAAATTTCGTATACACACATAAATTTTAACATTACACCTTAATGCAATAGTGTGTGTGTTCCAATTTCATGAACATCTTTTATCCATTTCCCCATAGACAATAATCACGAACAATACTAAGTTACTTAAGCGTTTACAAACAAATACTTTATCGGATTTAACACGCTTAACTTTTCTACGTTATTACCTACGTATTATAATTTATAAAGTCTACTTACACCGATTACTTAAGTACATTTTGTTCGATTATCTTTATTCTCGATTCGTAGTTAAAAATTAAGATGGGATTAATAATTTATTACTAGAGACAACCTTATTCCGTAAGCATTCTAAAACGACCTTTATGTAGATTTTCTTTATGAAGACATCTAATTTATTATTGCACATACCAGACGGTAGCCGATACATTCAATGTAAAGTTACGTGACACCGTATCATCATAAATAAACATAATATATTTTTAATTTTTATTTTTTCATTCCAGTCAAAAGGAATTGAGAAATGTGTTGATAGAATAAAAATTGTATGTTTAAAAAAAACTATCGTATTTAAATGACTTCGTGATGACAACTATTTCAAAGACTTGATTAACTGTTGATGAAATATTAAGATGACTTATAAATTCAAACGCATACTTTCCTATCTTGTTTTATGACTGGACTGTCTTAGATATTGAAAATAATTTCGATTATTTAGATGACAACAAAAAAAAAGTGTCATTGTTAAATCTACGCACTCTCTTATCCCGATATTTATTTTCATAAACATTATTTTGCTAATTCATGACACAAGTAAGATAGTGGACAGAAGACTATTGCGATTGTTTTATAAAAATTAAGCAAAGTTTCCAATTTTACATACGAGTTTTAATTAATTTTCCAATTACTCTACCCTGACATTAATTTACGTATAATGGGTGACTATTAACACTAATATTAGAATACTAATTTTTTGTTTAGATATTACGTATAAAAGGAAATACCTTGCACAAAGATCTGCATGAGTCTGACGCATTAAATACCGGTGTTTATAAATAAAAATATTATTTTACAATGCTAAATTATTTTTTTAAACATATTTTGGCACAACATTGCATTGAAAGCGAATTTATTCAGACGCGTTTATCATTAGAGTCTGTTTTATTAAAGAAATGTTGTGTGAGTAGCGTCGACTTAAAAAAAATATTTTAATGAAGAAAAAGGTTAAAGTTGGTTATAAATTGTAGTACTTAGAGATAAGGAAGATTATATATATAAGCATTTGTTCATTCATAAATTTGTCTCACAAAGCTATAAGATTCGAAGCATTGAAATCGAGGTGATACAAGCAAAGGATCAAGTTAAAACTATCGAAGGTACACAAAGTGTAACTAAGTTCTTAGGAAATACTTCATACAAAGTCCATTCTATATTACCTATAAAGTATATTACACTTAAGCTACTCAATGTTTAAAATTACTTGTAAAATTTAAAATTTAGTCACATTATTGTTTATTATATGTATCATTGTTACGTATATAATTTTTGAACATCGGATGTATTCAGATCTCTCGGACGACGCACCGCTCACGTTTACACAAACTGCATCAAATACGTTCAACTTCATTGCAGCGTTAGGATTCATTACTTGTATAACTGGACATGGTGCTATTCTAGAATTGATATCAAAAAATATCGCGTAATTTTAAATATTTACCTTTTGTTCTGAAGACAGAAATACAAAATTAAGATTTGTTAAAACGTAGACTTAACAGCGATTGTACTTCGATACGTATTTTTGTTAAAAATATACGTTTAACGTTCTTATAGAATAATTATGTATGTTACATTCATGTATATGTTGATATAAAAAAAGTAAAATTAAAACTAAAATTTTCAAAGCGAATCAACAATTTACGAACTTAACGACGGAAGGAAATCACTGATCAAAAGAATAAAGCAACTCTTCGAAATCAACGGACAATAATACAACAAACTTTACAATTATAAAAAAAATGTGACCCTTCCAAACATAACTGGTCCGCTAACAGCAGACAAATAATAAAATATACATCAAAATGTACATAATATAATAATAATAATCTAATAGTAAAAAAAAATATAACGTAATGAATTAGAGTAAGTGGTAGCAATAAATACTATGAGATTCACAGATTTAAAATCTTAACTAACAATACCGAAATCCACTCGGAATTTATATGTAATCCTTAGGGCGACACTAACGCGTTTGTATATTTTAGATAAAATATTATTGCAATACATGGTGTAGTTATGGCAACAAAATAAATGCTTAAAGCACATCACCAGCCGTCCACTAGCGAACACAGAGGCGAGTCTTTCGCACTAAAGGAACATTGATACGAAGTCAAAACGCCCCTACAACGAGACGACACTCCTATTGAACCAGCCGCAAAACATAAAGAACTAGTGGATACGAAACGACAACCGTTGCGCGCTCCCCGTGGACGCAACACTTCAGGTAATCACACTATGATACAGTATCAGTCAAGATTGCCTAGTGCTTCGGCCAAACGGCTTACGTCGGCACCTTATTCACTTTAAGGAGGTCGTTGGAGCCCTTATCGATGGGCATCTTCATGGAGTCGTGGTGGTGGGTCACATGGTGGCCGTGATGCTGCCCCTCCAGCTTCGCCTGCTTCTCCTGCTGCTGCTGCTTCATTCTATCCTGCTCCTCACGCTCTCTGCGTGCCTGCTCGTTGATCTCTTTCACTGCGCGTAACTCTTTCTTGAGTTTCATACGTCGATTTTGGAACCAAATCTTTATCTGCCTCTCCGTGAGGCACAACGCGTGCGCGATCTCTATCCTGCGTCGACGGGTCAGGTAGTGGTTGAAATGGAATTCCTTTTCTAGTTCTAATGTCTGGAACCTCGTATAAGTTTGTCGGCCTCGTCGTCGAGGGCAGCCATTCGGACCTGAAAGCAAAAATTAATTTAATTAAATAACCATTTCAATATTCGACATGGATTATCCTAAATGCTATAATCTTAAACAACGACAACAAAGAATGTTAGTAATTAAATAAATTCGATTTCACTTTTACGTTCCATATATTATTCAACGAGACACATGTTTTGAATTCGCAGCGCAAAGCCTCCATGCATGCCATTAAATTTCACTTTATGTCATCTAAGATTTTAATGGACCATTAATATTTTATTGCTGCACTAAAGTTAATTTTAAATCCATTTCGCTACTGACAATACATTTTCTAAATCATGTGTATCGAGTACATGAAAACATATTCGATTACAATACTAGGAAGACAATTTATGCTTTATTGAGTTGGTCAATGAGAAAGAATCGACTTTCGTAAGCGGTATTTAAAAAAAGAACGAAATTCCGTACTGAATAAAAAGTAACAGAAAGGGTTAAGGCCCGTTAATAGCTTGAGCAGTAACAAAGAGCGTTTTCTAAAAAAAAAAAAAACACAAAAAAGGGTTGAGTAAAGAAGGGTTGCGCAACTTTCTAATGCTTTGTAAGGTGACTCTATTATGTTCGTCGAGGCATTTTCGAGGAATTCGTGAAAGTTGAACCTCTATTTCACTTTACTTAAAATTACAATAGGTCAAATAACATTCGGACCCATTAAAAATACGTGTTTTAAATCGAAAGTTTATCTAAGGCTCTAGAATGTGATCTTGTTTCACACATACAGCGAGGACGTGTATGTGAGACAGGTAAATGCCGTGCCAGTGGTGCAGACGCCGGACCCAGGACTGGTTTTCGAGCCAGGTAATAAATAAGGTAAGATAAATAGGCTTCCCGACGTGTATAAAATTGATAGCAGACCAACGGCGACCGCAGGAATGTAGCCGTGTAGACTAGCCCTTAGTTACCTGGTTCATCACACCAGTAGTATTATACCTACATATACCTCTAATACCTACTAATCTTAAAAGTTTTTAGATTTTTTTTTCTACGTCCAATATTGACCTGATTATGATAAAAGGGCAACGAATGCTTTCGATGCATTTTCTTTACTTACAAAAAATTAACACGTAATTGGAAAATTATTTAACATATTTTGGAATAATGTAAGTAATTGAAACATTAAACGTTTTTAACTTAGATACATATAAAATACAAAGCAGTGAATTACGAGACATTGATAGCTACCTTTAAAATATACTCATTTGGATCAGACATCTGTCTGAACATAAATTTTTAACACGTATTAAAATATAATTCGCGTACTGAGCATATATCTAATTGGCGTAATAAATCGATTTCCTATTTAGATTACTTACATTTATTGTTTGATGTATTTAAAGCAGCACTATTAATGTCTTATGCTGAATAAAAAGGACAACTAAAATAAGCCATCTTAATGGCGTTTAATTGGAAATAAGAATAAAATATTGCGGTCACATTGATTCGCAATTCGTATAATTTACAACGTTGCTAATACCTGTTAACTTAAAATTTAAATTATAGTGTCCTAAACGAATCGAGCGGCTCGTACGAAAGCTCTACTCCGCAATTTTATATCAGCCATAAATTACTATAACTGAATTTTACGGCCGCAATAACGTTTACAGTTGGCGCTTATTTTAACAAAAACTTAAAAACTGCTTAATATACCGTAAATAGAAAATGGTGTAATTATGCGACTGTGGTTAGACGAGGACGAACATTGCGGATGATGCGAGAGAAAGAGATAGACGCGGCTATCCTAATTTTAAAAAGCAAAGATGGAACCCAAAATACAATACACGAGTCCCAATAATGCAATCAAGGAGAAAGATCGTAAATTGCATTTCGTGTCATTTGAAAGTGATCCTTCCGCCTATCTAAATAAAGACTAAATCGGAACATTATGGAAGTGACATCAGTTGTATTCTGACGGTGGTAGCAATATGTTAGCGAAGCAGGTTGGCCACCCTTCACACGGTTGCCATGACGACGGGCGTTAAAGCACCTCCCGTCAGCTGGGTTCCATTATTCTTTGTTGTATTGTTGAGATGGGGCGGTGTGTCACCGATACGATACGTCGTACCTGTAAAAGCCGTTATTTCCGACAAAGTTTTTTTGTGATACGTATCTTGATGTACTCGAAATACGACTTGATGATAATTTTGTTTGATTTTAAACATTTTCTTTGTATGCATTGAGTGAATTGTTTTAGTATCTAATGAGGTTATTTTAATTTTATAAGAATTGTAAAGTAGAAAATTACTTTATATTGGTCTCGACTTGAAAAAAAATCTATAAATATACGATGGTTGGAGTGTAATATATCACGAAAAAGAACGACATAGCATTAATTAGGGGCGTACATTGTGAGCCGACTTGGGGCCGACTATAAACACACTGCGACAAGCCCTGGCTCTTAACTTACCTCGCTTTTTTCTCCGAAATAAATCCCACGGAATGTTCTTGTTTATTTATTATTTTATTTAACTTTGTATCAAACCTGCCCGCCTTTGTAGGAACCAGTTCCAGTGCCTTTGATTAATATGGCTCCGGTGGATTGGAATATTAAAAAGGTGCGTTTGTGAATTATAAGAGATACTGACAGGTAAGAAGGTAATTTATAGAGCGAGTAAGATAGCTTCTGGTGGACTGGTCAGAGACTAGTGATGGCCCCTATATAACCTTTGAAAGCTTACGAGTTGGGGAGGGTTTGGGTCCAAATCAAATAAATTTAAATGATAATGAAGTTTTTGCTCTTATACACTTCACAATAAGAGTCAATTAGAGAACAATGAATGAAGATTGATACTCGATCATTTGACAATTAATTAATTTTTATTTTGTTGTGTATAGAATCTATATTATAATTTTATGAACTAGTTCGCCAAATAAATTGTTTATGTTAAATTTTAATACATGTTTTGCATTGTTATTTTTTATTGTTTAAATAAAATAAAGTAGCAACACTAGCAATGTTTATGCGTCATGTTACAAGTACTTTATGTGTTAAATTTATTTGAAAATAAGCAAACAAACTAATTCGTGGTACAAATTGTTTTATTTCACAAAGATAAGGCCACCGTGATCGTAATCTTTTTTGTTCGCAACCCGTAAGCAAACGTTTTTAATTTACATTTTATACTTTTTAATTGTTTGTACAATCGGATTTGCTTTAAATTTAAACAACGTACATACATAATCTAATCATGTAATGAGCAAATATTTAATAATGATTAAAGTAATCCTATTGATTGACAAAATAAAATAAATTTTGCAAACAAAATGCCTACATGTTCCACAACTGAAGTATTTTTAACTTTCAAAATTTTCGTTTTTCACAATGTATTTAATTAATTTAAAACAATGGTTTAGAGTTCAAAATTCAATAGTAGCCTTTTTGAATGCTACAAGAACGGCGTATTTATTGCATTTAGTTACTGAGTTATTAATATCGTCAAATGTCTTATTTGATTGACAATTAATATAGGGCAATGTTATCGGTTACTCCTACGACATTAACATTGTATAAAGGAGATCAATTACGTTATGAAGTATTAAGCTTATATCAATTAAACCGCCATTAAGCCTCTTAAGGGCTTCGTAACCTCACGGCAGCGACACTGGAGTTTATTGCGTCGTAACTCGTCGTTTATCGTGAACGCTCGGCAATGTTCGGGCGGCCATTTTAAAATAGAACTTGTGATCTCGAGAGTGGATATTGTTTTCGGATTCTGTTCGATTCTATTCCAAATGCTTTGATGTACAGCTTCCTTTTATTTGACTAAAAAGTTGCTAAGTGACTTAAATGTCTTGTGTAATATGTGTGCGTCAATTATTTTTAAACTATGGTAATAGTCAAGATGAATTTTCTAAGCAACACTTTAAATATAAAAAATAAACTCTAATTGAGTTGTAGTTATGTCTAATTAAAGGTTATCGTTCTTTGACACGATTATTTTGTATGTATTGTTACATGTATTTACTTTATGTTTGTGTACGATTTGCAACAAAACAAGACTTCGTTTATAACAGTGAAGCTAAGCTAAAGTCAAAAGCTAATATTGCAAGCATACCCGGGACGGAAAGAGGCATTTTCGCTCGTTGCAAACGCCAGTTAAATCATCACAATGTTGTTCTGTGCTCCGTTCTACAAAGGACATTGCCTTCTGAACAGGGCTGCTACTGAATCACTACATTTCTAAGAATGCTCAAGGAAAATATTACAAAAAACAAAATTACTGTAAACCTTCCGAGGAGTCTTTTTACTGATGGTCGTAAATTGAACTTACACACATTCATATATCTGACATAAAAATTAGTTATTCCTGTAGCCTATAATTACTAACAAGGAGAAAAACATCACATACGAGTACCTATGATCGAACGATTACATAGCATGGACGAAAATAAATTCAAACTTTTACAAATTTAGACAATATATGATTTAATTTTAGTAAACAAAATATTTTATTAGTTGTGGCAACCCTTTGCATTTGTAATACATACTACATATAGGCATAGGAACAGCGAGTTGGAGCAAGACGATCTTTGATCCGCGCCTCACTGACGTCACGATTTATTCATCCCGCCTCAACAGCGAGGGATTGTGAAGACTAACGAATTTACAAGTTGTTATACAGTTACATACTGTTATTGACTTGTTATGGTTGAAAAGTTAATAAATATTCTGGTAGTAACGTTTTGTTGACTAAGATTTCTTATCTTCGACATGAAAGATTGTTTCAATTGATTTGATTTACAAAATATCCATAATTTGAACAGGATCGGCGACATAACAGAAATAATTTATCTAATTTTTGTATATTGCACTATGAAAATGATTTCTTAAATATGCTGATAAATTCTAAGTATAGATATTCGTCAAAGATAACGGGTCGATGTATTTGTTATACATAATATACGGGTTTCGAGTGTATAATTTGATCACGGTTGTATATGGATGAACAAACGTACTAAGAGCTGACAACTTGATTTAGAC